TATCCAAGCTGTCAAAGCTAGCCTTATAGCTGAAGCAATCACCTATAATGCCAAATATCAAATTATTTGAATCCTAGTTACCGTGTCCCTATACCAAAGATCTAAAATCAGAGAATATGGCAGTTCTATGGGTCACAGTACCAAAACCCAAAGCAAAATCTTAAAGTAGAAATATAAACCTTCAGTTTCAAGAAAGACTACAGGTCCAATAAAAAAAAAAACTAAGTAATGAATGATGAATAAACAACAAAGGACAAAAAGCAAAACCATTAACCCAACAGAAGATACTGTATTTACTCTTCATTTACTGGTATTTCAAAGGCCAAATATTAGAGCATTAAGTTTAAATGAGACAGTCTTCAGAAAGGTAATATAATATGAAATAGGATTGGAGATGAGTGGGGTAGGGGGCAGGCTGCAATATAAAAAAAAGACTTCTGAAATTTCTTAGCACTATAAACCATAACCTTAATTTCTGGTACTTGAGTGGAAAATGATATAATAGGAGCCCAGAGATACCTATTCTTAAAAAGTCAAAGAAATTAACACATTTATCAATAATTTTATTATCAAGAATTCTTACTTGTCAATATGAGGTGTTACCCAGATGTTTCCTAATCAAAACAGGAAAAAGCAAGAGAACTGCAATAGTGAAGGACAGGCCTCTTCTTGGTAAAAAGTAAAAGCAGGTTAAGTTTTTTGAAGGCTCCAACTGGCACACTAAAGCTGTGACTATTAATTTAATAATTTTAATTGTACAGGACATGATTTTACATCAGTCATTTAAAGCAAAAAGAAAAATGGAGTTCAAATTCAGGTCTTTTTGAAAAGCTAAGCAAGCATTCCAGAATGGTCTTGGCTTAATATCACCCATTCCTAGTGAATCCAAGTGAGATTGTGACAGAACAACTCAATACCCATTTCCTTGAAATGGTGAAAAAACAAGTAAGCTAAATTGAATACTGGATAGAAAGCCATTCTTTGTGATTGACTTGCAAGAATGTTCCAAAATTTTCTTTACAGAGAAATGAAGAGAGCAGAACTGCCATCATTTCATACTTATCAAATCCTATAAATACAAAGTTAGTTTACTTTCATTTAAAAGATGACCACAGGAAAAGGTCACTCAGTTCAGTGAAGACACTGAAAAGTAATGCTTTAAGGGAACAGGTCACTTATCTTCACTTACAGTAGATATTAATGTTAAGGCAGAAGTTTTAAGGGGGGAACCTTCCTGTTCAAAAAGCCCCATTTGAAATAGCTGCTGTTTCTTAATCAACTTTGCCCTTGAAATCACTGTTAATTAAAATGAAATGTTATTTCCCATTAACTCATAATGTTAATGGGTAGGAAGTTGTTGGCATCTGTTTAAAACTTTCAAGTCTGTCACAGGAAAACAAGTAAAATATTGTGATGCCCAAACATTAGGTCCTTGAATACAGGTAGATCTCTTTCTAACCAGTTTATGGAAAAACTGTGATTGACTGCTATAGTATCTAACAAAAACCTTTGAAATATGAACATTTGGTGATGCAGTTAGCCCTTAAACACAAAATATAAGCATGCCAGACAAGAAGAAAATATTTCTTATGACATCCTTTAAGTAGACTAACTAGGTGCCTTTAAAAGTTTCTCTATTACACTGCAATATACATGGAGCTAAAATTGATAGCATCAGGCAAATCTCAGTTCTGAAAATAAGCAGGTAAATTAAAAGTCTATTTTTTTTTGCTGCTGTATCTTTTTAAAAAAGCAAAATCAACTCACATTTAAGCACCAACTCCATGCAAGTAACCTGAACGGTTCAGTCTTTTTGTCATGTATGAGGCCTTTGGTTCTCCAACTACATGGGATCTGTGTTGTTAGCTTAAAAAATACAGAATTGGCCTTTCAAAAAAAATAATAATCTACAACAACCAACAAATAGTCTCAAACAATCCTGCTGACTGCAGTTGCCTTCTGAAGGCTGGTAAAAGGAGGTGGAGATAGAAAAGAGAGTCAGGGAAAAGGGACGCTGCAGCTAGCTACATAGCAAGAAACACGCCCCCATCATGTCCTCCTTGCTCTGTCAAAAGGCGGGTTGTTGTCAGTCTCCTGACCAGGCTGCCTTAGAAACGCTCCAAAAAAAAAAAAAAGAAAGAGAGAGAGAGGAGGCAGGAAGACTAACAACTGAAAAATGCCAGCTCTTTCTTGCAAAGGAGGGGCCTGGGTCCCTCATCTCCTCCCTCCCCTTCTTCCCAGGGTCTCTGAGTACCTCTAAAGGGGTATAGGGTACAATAGGGAACAAGGGGGCTTTGCCGAGGATATTCTGTGTGCACCAACGGCAGAGCACGCAGGAAACGGCTGGTTATCTTTCCCTTTCTGTTTCAATCAAGTGTATTACAGAACAGTACCCCCTTAACCCCCCTTCCCTTCAACTCCTAGCAGCTGCTCTTCCTCCTCCCTGCATCCCCCCTACCCCATCCCCATCCCCGTGAATCAAAACTCTCCCTCTATATCCGATGGAAAACAAATGCTGCAATGCCACTGGCTGGACCTGAACTCAACTTCCCTTCCCTGGGCAACTTTCTTTATTCAGTTAAGAGGGTGTTCAACGGTACCCCAACGCTGAGATTCTCACCCAAATACTAATGGATTTATAAAAGGGAGAGAAAAGCAAGCTATTTACCTATTATCAATCCCACCAGAAGAAGAGCTTTATTCTTCCTGGCAGGGTCTGTCTCATATCCTCTGCTTTCTCCTAACCACCAGCAATCACCAACCCATATTAAAGGAAAACTGTCCCTTTATCTCTAACCTGCTCACCCCCAACCCTGTTTCTCCCACTCTTTCCAAACCTTAGGATTGGCCTGGAAAGAAATGGATCAATAATCAAATGACTGAAAAAAGCAGAGGGCGGAAGGGAGCCAGGGTTGGAGACTGCGTGCTCCCAGGCGCAGTGGGTGGGGTAGGAGAGCAGCTGCTTCCCCTGGGAGGATGCTGCTGAGTGCCCCCTCCCACCTCCCCTCTCAGGGCCCCCTTCCCCAGAGCTGGAGGGAAAACCTGCAGGAGCTGGGGGGGGGGGACGCCACTCTGCTCTCTTCTGAGCTAGGAAAGGGAACAGTGGCGGGCTCTTTTCCCTACATGCAGCTAATCCTTTTCTCTAGAGCCAGGGAAGGGTGGAGTTGAAATAGGGTTATCTCCCTCTCTTGATAAGGTATCTGTACCCCTTAAAGGTTGGTAATCTATACTGCCCTCCAAGAGGGAATCGGCGTTCTCTTTGGAGGTTGCGGGGGAGGGGATACAGACGGGAAGGGAAAGGTATTTCTTGTGGAGCGGTTGGGAAGATGAGGGAAGATCCAGCTACCTTTAGTGGGGGAAATGGAGGAGTGGTTGGGAATACAGGGCTCTGGATGGGGAACGGGGTAAAAAGATCTCGTGGACGATGGAAAGGGAGGGGCAGGAATGGGAGCTCGGGGCGCGGGGCTGGCATCTGCCCCCAAGGGTGAGGGACTGGCACGCAGCTCCCTGTAAGGCCTTGCTCAGGAGAGATGTCCTAAAGGGAAACTGCCCCAGGAGTAAAACATCTGCCCGGAGAGGCGGGGATGTGGCGGGATCAGGTCTCTAGGATGGGAGGAGGGAGGAATCTTACTAGGATGAGGTAATCTGGTCAAAGGGAGGAGGGGATCAGCCCCGGGATGGGAAATCCGAAAGGGGTAGGGAGGTCTGTGCCCAGGGCTGTCTTTCTTTTTTTCTTTTTTGGGGGGAGTGAAAGGGGGTGGTCCTGGATAATGTCTGCCTGCCCTTCGCCGGGCAGGAGCTGTGCCCGGGGTGAGGGGTCTGTCCTCGCACTGGAGGGGAGGGGGGTCCCAAGATGGAAAGGGCGCCGGCCCCGGCTCGGGGTGGTCCCCGATCGGGATGCTCGGCACTCAGGGGTGAAGAGGGAGGGTGGGTCTGGGGGCTCCGCAGAGGGTCGGGACCCCACGCCGGGGGCTCCCCCGCCCCCTTACCTCTCCGCTGCCGCCTCCCCCGCCGCTCTCCCCGAACACGTCCCGGAACCGGCGCAGATTGGTGCCGATGGCGGCCGAGACCTGCAGCGCCGCGTCGAAACCGGGGCCCACCCGGAGCAGGGCCGGCCCTGAGGAGGCTGAGGACAACGACGAAGACGCAGACGAAGCGGACGACGACGACGGGGCTGCAGAAGCGGCTGTGGAGGAGGAGGAGGAGGAGGAGGCGGCGGCGGCGGCGGCGGAGGAGGAGGCGGAGGAGACGGAGGAGGAGGAGGCGGCGGAGGCCGCTCCCCCCGGAGCCCCGGCCCCGCTGCTTCCCGCCGCCGCCGCGGCCGCCGCCACGGCCGGGGGGGAGGGGGGCGCCCCGGGGCCCCCGCCGCCGGCCGGGGGCGCGGGGGGAAGCAGCAGGGCCGGGACGCGTTGCCGCGGGGCGCCCCCTAGGCCCCGGCGCCCCCCGCCGCCGCCGCCCCCGGTGGTCCCGGGCCGGGCGGGGAAGCGCCACCGACAGCTGTGCGCCATGTTCGCCCCGTGAAGTGAAGCAGCGAGAGGGAGAGGCGACAACACAGTGGGGCGGGGAGGCTGGGGGGGGCGGGGGGCCCCGGAACCTGCATAACCCGCGCCTCACTACTTGCCCGCCAGCACCCCGCCGGCCGCTATGCAGAGCACCGGGCCCCGCCGAAGAGCCCCGTAACCTGCATAAAGGGCTCTGTCCACCCAACCCTAAACCCAGACGCTTTTGTAGCATCCAGGGTCCGGGGTTTCCCCCTCCTGCCCGCTCGTTGGCCCTGCAACCTGAATAACGGAATGCCCCGCCCTCCGGGAGCTGTAAGCTTGGGAGGAGGGGGAGGCAAAGGAAGAGGGAGGGGAAGAGCCTTAAGTGGAGCTAGAGCGGGGAAAGGAGCAGGGGGCGGAGGCGGAGAGGGAGGGATTAGGCGGAGGGAGTCGGGCCGCCTCCAGCCTCTGAAGCTGAGGAGATTGATTATACAGGTTCCCGGGATGAAAAGAGACTCGAACCGCCCGGGAGAGCAGCTCCCAGTATAACGCGGCTGCTGGGGTGGGGAAGAGAGGGAGCAACGTTCCTCATCCTTTTTAGCGCCTATTAGATTACCGTAATTTACACATCTAGTGTCAGAGGGCCCCCAAAAATATTGCATGCAAAACAGTATTTGTAGCTTTAACATATGCAAAACAGGAAGGGCTTCCTAAAATGAAACGCATTAAGGAAAGGAGCCCCTCCCATTTCACAGCTAAGAGCTCTCACCTAAATGCATAGACAAAGTAGAACAATTCTCCCGCCCCCGCCCGCCAACTCCAACAACCGCCCGGGTCTGGGAAAAGGTCCTTTGCTTTCGCAGTTCTCCTCATTGGTATTAGCATTGGGTTGAATTTCCAAACTGGGTGCAAGGGACACAGCATGCTCTGCAAAAGACTGAGATTATAACGAAACAGGGTTTCTAACGGGGCAAAGAGGGAAGAGGCGGGCGAAACTCCCCCGCCCCTTCTTCCTCCGTTCCTCGCCTGCTGTGCATGCAAAGCAGACCCTAATGTAGGCAAGGCGGGGGGGGGGGGCGGGCGTTGCGTGCACGTTTATTATTAAGAGAGGGGGAGGAGGGGATCGTTGGGCATTAAGATCCACTGGGTGGAAACGGCCCGCCAGCGATGGCTCCTCTACCAAGAGCGTTGGGCTGGATTGGGGGTGGGAGACTGTTAGGGTAGTAGGAGGATTAAGACGGGGGTTGAACATGCACTCAGTTATTTTATTGCAGGAGGAGGAGGGGATCTCGAGGAGCTGATGTTTCCAGCTAGGCGTTAGAAGCCTCCAGGGCTTGGAAAGCTCTAGAGGAAGGGGGATGGAAACACTAAACAAGCAAGAGTATACTAAGCCTGGGGGATCGATATAAGGCGCTGCAAACTGCAAGCAAGCCCTCTGGATGCACCCACCCTCTAGCAGAAGTGGAGTTCGCTAGAAGGTCAGGCAGCTTTCCAAGTCTCCAGTGCACGGGTGCATCACCCAGCTTGTAATCTTGCAGCCTGGGGAGAAATGGAGATGAGGGAGGGGGACAGGAAAGGAGTGCTGGGGTTTAACTTGTGGAAGGTGGAGGGCGATCAGGTATCCGCCCAGGTCTCTAGGAAGGTGTAAGGCTGCAGAAGGTACCACAAGCTTCCAGAGAAGGTCCACGGCCTTCTGGTGCTGAAAACCTACGTCGTTGCGCTTTCCTGTAGCTCAACGCTTGTGCAAAGCAAATGACTTGGGGTTGGGGTGGGAGGAGACATAGTCAAACTGTGGCTTCCCCGCCTCCTCCCAGATCGATAGTCTTTCCAGTGGGGCGGGATGGGGCCCAGATGGTTTTGCAAAGCAAGCAAGCGCGAACGAACATATACTGCTGTTGCATCAAATGGTTCATAAAGATAATGAGGATGGGAGTCAAGGGGGGGGCACAAACCAGCACTCCTAGGATTCTGGAACAGATATGGATACTCTATTGTGGATGGTTCATCTATTGCAATATATTTCAGGCTCTAGATGTTTTGCTTCAATGTAGCCGCCCTGATCAGTTACAGATTGGTGACCACGTGGATCCCCTCAAGCATCCTGATTTGTTAATGTATCTTTTTTTTTTTGCATTTGTATCTTCCCCCTTTTCATCTAGCTCTCTTTTTAATATGCATAACGGTTTGCAGAGGTAATGGGCAAGGGACTGAGTGGCTGATTTTATGTAACAGTCTCTCCAGGATTTCTTCAAACGCCAGCTGTCCCTTAAAAAAAAAGTATCATTTTCGGAGTAATCTCCCGCTTCTCTAGAGCCCTCCTAACCATATTCTCCTTTGATTAGGTGGGAAAACTGAAATATAGAGGTAAAGGTGGAGAAGAACATCACGAAAAGACGAACGGAATGCCAAAGTACAGCTTGCAGGTCATCTGACTGGAAGGCTTTTGAGACGTCACCAAGTTTATCCATTGGCATCCAAAATGGGTGTGAAAGAGTGTGAGACAGAAATGAACATCTTTCAAATTTTTAATTTAAAAAAGGAGCCCCACATTTTATTCAGAACCCCTTTATTGTCTTCAGAGACACCTTAGCACTCTGCATGAGGTGCTGTGGCTGAGAAAATTCCACACCGGGACAGCCAATATTCCTGTAGATGAATGTCATCACATTATTGACATTATATTTTGTCATTAGTCTCTAGTCTTTCCTGCTTGGTACAACCTACAAGGTCTAGTTTCCTCCTCTTCCTTCCTCTTCCCCACTTTGTATTTACTTTGCATGTATTTACTTAGCTGTGTACCTGTTGTTTTCTCCCAAAATGTAAGCTCCTTTGAAAGCAGAGGATGTTTTGTTTTTCCTTATATGCATAGTGCCTATAATATAGTAGATGATTAAATAAATATTTGTTGAATGAGTGGAGACACAAGAGTAGGACTCTACCAGTATAGAAATTCAACCATTTATACAAACAAATCTCTTCTGGCTGGAAAAAGTTGTACCCACCCTCCAAAGATATTTTATTCCACCACCAAACCTTTGTGTCCTTCCTCCAGAAGCCATATTTCCCAAGATTTCATTTACACCCTACTTTAATCTTTGTTAAAGAAGTAATGATCTTTCCTTCATTTCCAAATTTCATGTGCAAGCATTTGGTATGGACCAAGGAAAAGGAGATTGGCTAGGTCATTGGGGTTTACCTAAGGGAGGGCTTGACCAGCAGTGAGCAGAGGCTACTTGGAATTACTAGACACTAGGATTCCCCAGGATCCCAAAATTGACTACTTATCACAAGGACAGCAGACAGGAGATCTTGCTTGTGCTTTCCAACTCCTCTAAGCCCACAGACTGCTGTTTCCAAACTACGAAGGAGCCACAAGTTTGACTAAAAAATTTTGCAATGCTGTCAACAAGGCACATGGTTTATTGAGATGGGTATTCACTCATTCATTCAACAAGCATTTGTTAATGGCCTACTATGTGCCAGGCCCTCAGGATACAAAGACAAGAAATTAAATGATCAATAATGAACCAATAAATGAAGGTTGGGGAAGGCCCAGTAGAAAAATGTAATCCAAGCTATTTAAAGACAGGTGGTATATAAGTAAGCATGATGACTTAGTAGATAGTAAGCTGGCCTCAATGCCAGTAAGACCAGGGTTCAATCCTACTTCTAACATATATTGACTGTGCAACCTTGGGCTGCTCCAGGCAGCTCTATGAGATGATAAATTGCAGAGAAGGGGTTGATCTGTATTGGTAGAGGGAGTTGCCTATACCACTAAAAAGTATATGTCTCGTCCCTATCCCATTTAAATGAGATTGCTCCTTAAGGGTAGGTACTTACCTTTCACAATGATATTCCTCCAGTGACATTAGAGGACTACAAGTCATGAAATATTATAGTCTCTGAAGAATTAAAGTTGAAGGTCACTCGAAGTGCAACAAAGCTCATGGTCAATGTGAGTAGGCCTGAAACACATTACAAGTGAACAATTGTGCAAGAGAAATGGCATAAAGGTTGTCATTTGAGAAATGTATGACTGGAAAGAAGTTGGGCCAGTCATGTGAGGAAAGCCAGGGAGAACTGACAGACAGTCTCACTGGTGTCAATGAAATGGCAAAAGATAAAGAGGAAAGCCCCCAGCACATTCAATGGACTACTCTACCCAGTGGAGGATTTCCTGGAGACATTGACAAGGGTCACACAGGATGGGCTGAAGCATTGAACCATCAGTCAGAGAATATCAAAGATTCCTACATGTGTATAAGAACTGAATTCAATGTTCTAAATTAAACTCTGTCAGTTTGAATCAAATGGTGGTCCCCATACTCAAGGGACAGGTTGATTTGTCTGAAGAGTTTGTGGATTTCATGTGCTGTGCTGGTTTATTTTCATTAAAACTTCTAAAATTACTTTCTCCTTTTTAAATATTGTTGATGGTCAAAAGCTACCTTTTTAAAAGCAGAAAAATTGATAAGTAAGGATTATTAATAGTTTAACTTTGCAGTTTTTTTTAAGGAAAATTTAGTCCAAAATATATAAAGAAAACAAGAGTTTACTTTTCCTCTCCTTGTAGCTGCATTTCAATAGATTAAAGGAACATGGCATAGAGGAGTTATGAGGTTTAGATTCATAGGATGATAGGTAGAAAGGGACCTTAGAGGTCACTTAATCCAATCCCCTCAATGTACTGATTGGCAAACTGAGGCACAGAGCAGTTAAAGGATATATCACATGTAATAGATAACAGAGCTGAAATTTGAATTTAGATTCTCTGATCCCAAATTCAGTGAGTTATGTGCTATATTATATTGATTCAGAGGAAGAAAGTTAAAATCATGGCTCTGATATTTACTACCCATATGACCTTGGGCAGATCACTGGATCTGAGTTTATTGATTTATTGAATTAGGAGGTTGGACTAGATTACTTCTCACTTCCCTAACTTTAAATACTATGAACCTACTATTTTATCATGAGTGCTAGGGTACTCTGAGCACAAGAATACAGTGTCCAATAGAGGCCAAATCTTGTAGTTTTGTGCAAGAAATGTTCATTTGTAACTCCCCCCCCCTTTTTTGTGAGGCAATCAGGGTTAAGTGACTTGCCCAGGGTCACACAGCTAGTAAATGTCTGAGGTTAGATTTGAACTCGGGTGCTCCTGACTCCAAGGCCAGAGCTCTATCCACTGCACCACCTAGTTGCCCCTGTTCATTTGTAATTTTAACAGTTCTAGCGAAAAGAGCCTAGGGTAATGAACAAGTCTTTATTTTTCTTAATTACAATCTTTTTATTGTAATCTTTTATATTAATTATACATAAAATTATAATCTTTTCCTTTTTACTTTTACTGAGCATTCATGGTGCCCTGAGTGATACCCAGCTGCAAGCTCCTTGAAGGCAGGGACTGTCTTTTGCCTCTTTTTGTATTCCCAGCACTTAGCACAATGCCTGGAACATAAGTAATAAATGCTTATTGAATCAAATTGATTTATCTCACTCTAAGCAGCTCATCACTTATGTGTCCCCCAAGTAAGAGATCCATTAAAATAGTAAATTGTGATGAAAACTTGAATCCTTTCTAGCTCTCTTGACCAATCTTGTTCTTTTTTGGTTTCTTTGTTGCCCTCCTGAAATATACCTTTTATATTAATAGCCAGTTACCTTTTTCCTGGGAGGCAGGATGTTCTCTGGTAGGTGATAGTAATGTCTGATTTATTCCATTGGCAGTGGTATACCAGAGCTTCTGTGAACCTTAGGGTAGTATTCACATTTCTGATTTAATTGATGTACACACTCTCTTCTCCGATATACATATATTTCCTCCTTTGGTACAATGCACGTACTTTCCTCCAGAAAAGACCCAACCAATGGGCTGAGCCTTTCCTCTGGCTCTTTTAATATTTCACGGATCCCAGTGCAGTACTTGGGCTATCTGTTATCCCTTATTCTTGTTATATGACCATTCCACCTAGTGGGTCTCTGAGCCTTAGATTCCCATATGTAATTCTCTAATACTTCATAGATACATGATTTTGTCATTTTTATGTACTTCTTTCATCAATGTGGCTTCCAACTTATCAACAATTTAGTAAATGAACTTCAAGAATTATTATGGTTAAAAATCCATCACTCTACTAACAACCCAACGATCAACCTCTCTGAACTGTCTCAAATGTCAGAAAACAGGGAATCTATTTTTTGAAGTCTATTTGGCTTGGCAGGACTTCACTGATGCTGCCTTCAAAAACTTAGGGCCATTTCAACAACACAATGAGACAGAGGGATAGGACTTCAGTGGGAGAGATTTCCACCTGCGTAAGGTGAAAAATATGAATGGAACCACCCCTCCCAACCTTGCCTTCTAAAAATGTTAGAAAAAAAAGTTCCTTATGAGAGAAAGGCTTTGAGCTGCTTAGAAGGATGGCAGAATCTATCTTCTTTTCAGAGAGACTATGGGTGTGGGATATTTTATAACTGTCAGACACAGCTAATGTGTTTAGTTTTGCTGAACTGCCTTTTCTGTCTTTTAAAAATTATTTGTTACAGGGAATGGCTTAGTAGGTAGGGTAAAGGGAAAGGATATATTTGGAAATCAAAATTATGTGAAAACAAAAGCTATCAATAAAAAAAATTTAAAAGGATGGCAGTAGATAAATGGATCATTTTTTTCTCTCCTATCTGCATAAAGAAGTTGACACTTCAACAAACATTAAATGCCTACAATGTACAACACACCTTGCTAGACACTGGCTATATAAAGACAAAAAAAAATCTCTGCCCTAAAAGAGTTTACATCCTATGAAGGCAATTCAACATGTACACAGACAAATAAATGCAAGATCATTTGAGAAGGGAGAAAACACTAATGACCAGCACTAATGATCGAGAAGGCTTTGTATCTGAGCTGAACCATGAAGGAAGCTATGGACTTTAAAAGAGAAGAGGAGAGAGTGCATGTCAGGCACACAGTTTGTGGTGTTTGGGGAACAACTAGCAGAACAGTTTGGTTATAAGATAGATTATATGAATGGGAGTAATATAAAATGTCTAGAAAGGTAGTTGGGAGTTTCCAAGAGGCATGGGGGAGCCACTGAAAATTTTTGAGCCAGAGAATGATCAGATATGATTTGTGCTTCCAGAATATGAATTTGGCAGCTCTGTAGAGGGTGTTTTGGAAAGGGGAGAGATTGAAGACTAAGAGAAGGACCATTCATCCAGATGGGAGGCAACAAAGTCTAATTAACTAAAGAAATGGCTTTGTGAGGGGAGAGAAAGGTATAGATTGAAGATATACTGGGGAATTAGAATTGACAGGACTTTGCAATTGATTTGATAGGGGTGAGGAAGAGGCAAGAGTCAAGAATGACTCTAAAGCTGTGAACCACTGAATCACAAAATTTGAGATTTGGAAGGGATCTTAGTAACCATCTAGCCCTACATCAAGAAAGGCATCCAATAAGCATTCACCTAGATCTGCTTTAAGACTTCCAACAAGAAAGAATTCATCACCTCCTGAGGTATCTCTTTCCACTTTTGGTCAACTCTAATTGTTGGGAAATTTTTCCCGATAGTGAGCCTAAATTTGTCTCTTTACAATTTCTTTCCATTGGTTTTGCCCTCTGAGGTTCAAGTGAGCAAATCCAATCCCTCTTCCATGTGGCAGTCCTCCAAAACTTGATTACAATTCCCAGGTCCCTCCCTGCAGACCAAACATCTTCAGCTCCTTCACACTCTCCGTACATGACAGCTACCTTTGCCGTCTTGGTGGTCTTCCTTTGCATGTTTGTCCTTAAAGTGTTGCAATGCAAAACACAACATTCCAGATGTGGTTTGAGCAGGGCATAACAGACGGGGCTACCCTCTCCTTGGCCCTTAAAGCTATGCCTCTTTTCATCTAGCACAGAATTACATTAGCTTTTTTGGCAAACATAACACTATGTTGACTCATATTGAGCATGTAGTCCAGCTATTTTTCAGGCAAATTGCTGTTGCTGTCTAACCATACCCCATTCCATCTTGTACTTGTGTGAAGTTAATTTATTGAATCCAACTGTAGGACTTTACATTTATCCATACTGAATTTTATTTTATTAGATTCAGCTCAGTGCTCTAGCCTGTAAAGTGTTGTTGTTGTTGTTGTTGTTTTTTTTGGGGGGGGGTTGGATCCTGATTCTGTCATCCTATGTGAAGGCTACCCCTTCCAGCTCTGTGTCATCTGCAAATTTGATGGGGATATCATTTCTGTTTTTTTTTTCAAGTCATTGATAAAACAGAAACAACAACCATCAAACAGCACAAAGCCAAGAACAGATCTCTGGAACACTCCTCTAGAGATCTCCAGACAATCTAACATTGAACCTTTAATAACAAGAATAGTTCAGGCATTCAACCAGTTCCAATTCCAATTACTTGTATTACTATCCATTCCACGGTTGTCACAAGAATAGTATGTATGAATAACCTTATCAATTGATTTACTAATATCTAGAAAAATCACATCGCATTCCACTGACCTAGTAGTCTACTAACCCTGTCAAAATGAAAAGAAAGAAAGAAAAGAAAAAAGATTAGTCTGATATGGCTCTTTGCTGTTGCTGCTTTCTTTGCTAAATGTTCAAGTCAAATCAGCACACATTTATTAAGGGCCTACTATGAGCCAGGCACGTTGCTAATCACTGAGGATACAAAGAAAGGCAAAAACAGTCCCTGTTCCAAAGGAGCTCACCATCTAATAAGGCAAAATGACATGCAAATAACTACACACAAACACACAAGGACAAATCGGGGATAATAACCAAGGGAAGGCACTAACATTAGGGAGATAGGGATATTTCATGCAGAAGGTGGGATTTTAGATGTTCAACAATCATCTCTTTAATAATATGACATATTTTATAATTTCTCCCAGGAATTAAAACAATCTAGTCTCTATGGCATGCAGACTGTTCTCTTCTATTTCTTAAAAAAATTCTTAAGAAATTCTCTGTTCTCCAGGCCTGTGTACTTCTTTTACTTTTTCTAAGACCTTTCAAGCATCAGTGATATCTTCTGGTCCTTTTTGTACCCAGTGGTGTGATTCATCTGGGCTGAGTGGCTTGAATTCATCAAAGGGAACTGGATATTTTCTGACTATTTCCTGACTTATCTAAAGTATCAACTCCCCATTAGCCATGCTTATGCTGTCATTCTGTGTCACTGCAATTCTCAGCAATGAAAATAGAAGCAAAAAGAGAACTGAGTAGGTTCTCCTTCTCTTGGTTATTAGTTATCATCTTTCCATCTACCTGCACCCTGTACTTCTTCGATCTGCTTTTTTTTTCCTGTCACACAACTTTATTTATTTATTTATTTATTTAGGCAATTGGGGT